CTGGGAAACTGCTAAATGGTAGGCTGAAAGCTGGTATGTTTGGCTTACATCTCACAATAGGCACCGTAAGCTTTCCTCTTTAAGCACCCAGCTCTCACAAGGGAAAAAAAGAGTGTGTGGGTGGAATATACTTGGGAGATTAAAGTATTCTCTCTCACATGCCAAACATCACCTGCCTGTGATTTGCTCTCAAGGAGCTGAGCCAAGGAAAGCAGATCCTATTTGCCTCAGAAGGCCACCTGCTAGAGAAATGTTCTCTTTCCCCAAAAGCAGCAGCACTGCTATTTCCTGGTGATAAGACTTAGCTCAAATGTGACCTGTAACTAGAGATGAGGGAGCACCGAATTTCACATCTACGTGCATGAAGAGTGGAGGCATCACCACTAAATCTGTGTGCAAAAACCAATTACATATGCCATGTGGTGGGCATGTGCACATGTTCACTGGGGGCCTTTACTTTGTGTTATCATTGATATTTAATTGCCTAGGGAACTGTTTCTAAAGCTGGGCTTCTCTGTATTTAGCACTGATATAATGCCACCCCAGTAAGTGTAAATGGCACTGTAGAGATGAGTCAAAACAGCAGATCTTTGCTCTAAAAAGCTTAAAAATAAGTTAGCTCCACTTTACTGCACTGATTTTATGGGGGCAGATTTTGGCCTTAGATTAATCAAAACATAGTGTAGAACAAATAAATGTACAGGAAGGACTGAAGCAGTTCCCAGTCACCTTTCAAATTCCTACCTGTTTAGTAGAAGACTTCTTGTTCTGCATTAGTAGGCAGCATAACATAAAGCGTGGGTTTTGCCTGTTATTTATTTTTAGTGGATGATAGGAAAAGTGAGACCAGCAGACATCATGCAACCTGACAACACAAATACACCCCTGAGAAAATCAAAGCTGGCAAACAAACACCCCATTTATAGCATAAAAACAAATTCTTCAGGAAAATGCAGGGGTTTTAAGGGCAGGGTTTTAACACCCTGATCTCACAGAAATACTTTACGTTACTGTAGATTAGAAAATTTTGTAGAAAATCTCTGGCATAGCCCATTAATGGCTTTGGAAGAAGCAGACTTACATTGGAGACATCATAAAGCCAGACAGCAGAGCTCAGATGATTTATAATTTCATAGCAACAACCAAAATCAGATTTCATGAATATAAATCACTGGGGGGTTTATTTACTATTATTTCTAATAACATTTATTAGAAATAATGTCCTCTATTAAAGGATAATGAAATTCACAGACTGCCACATAGATGAAGATACAAATCTTTTCAAAACCACTCATGCAAAATCTGCACAAGTTCAGTGATGGTTCAGGAGGATCCCTGAAGTCGCATGCCAGAATTCTCCTGCACAAGACAGAAGAAAGTGGGTCTGCAGAGCTCTAAGCTGTAGGAAAAGAGAAGCTGAGTCGTTCTTTGTGTGTGAGGGCTGTAGCTACAGAAATTCCATGTTTCCTTTGTTCTTTCAGGTCCCAATTCCCATGTAAAGCCATGTTATGCTCTAGGCAGAATCTGAGAGTTAAAGTCAGTAAGTCACCCTTTTGTTTGGCCTTTTATATTCAGGCTATAGTGTAATTTTGAACCATTGGACATGGTTCAGGCTACCTTTTTCTAAAACTTTCAATAATGGTGGAACAGCCCCACTACAAATAACATCACAAGTTTTTATAAGCATCAGTAAATGCCAAAGGATGAGAATTTTAGCCATATAAACACTTCATGCTTGAACTGAGATTCTCTCCCAAGCTGCTGCATACAATTAAAACCAAGGGATGGCCTTTACAAGGACAGAAGCAATTTAGGACATTAAAATGTCATTTCATTTGTCAGGCATTTCTGTCTGGCCCCCTTTGCAATACACTATTTGCACTTCCCATATTATAATAAAAATTACGTATATTGAGGTATTTAATAGGCAGTCATACAGAAGAAAATATTTACTCCAGTAGCAGACTGGCAGCTTTCTCAGCAAGTTTCACAGACACAGAAATGAAAAGGAATGAAAGAGAGCATCTTGCTTTCATGTAAAAGGTCATCAAATGCTCTGTTCAGTATCTCACTGAGAGTTTATTCAGCATTACCTTTTGTCCCTGAATCTGTCACCCCAAACCAGGAGCTGCTGAAGACACAGCTGAAAAAATGTCAGCTAGGGGCTCACACATAGCATGGACAGGCAGAGACTGAAGTGAGGCACATCAGATAGAATCTGGACAGAATCAGACTTAGAACTCGGAAAATTTAGAGATAAAAATACGCCAAGCTTTCATTGTCCTATTCCATCACAGCGAACAGTTCTGAAGCTGGCCACCAAAACTTGCCTCCTCAGTCACTATGTCCATGTTGACCTGTTTTCCATGATTTGCCCACTATCCAACTCCCTGCTCACACAGACAAGTCCTACGAGACAGACTGCTTTCCCTGGCCCTCATCAGCAGAAATGCTCTGGCTATGACTAAGCCTTATATTTCACATGCATGAAATATCCTTAGAGCTGCCTGTGCGTCTGTGCAGGACTTTTCCATTACAGGCAAGAATTTCTTGTGAGAAGAACTCAGGTAAGGAACAAATAACACCATGCGCATGATATTAGTTTTGCCATTTAGTAACCAAGGAGAATTGTTAGCACAATCTGTATGTTCTCAAGTCAGGTGAGATACTTTTGTGCACTTGATCCTTCATACGAGTAAAGCACAGGACTGTGTAACTAGGCAGTACTTTAATTGCCAGGACTCAAATTGCATGTCCAAGAACTTCTGAACCTTGTCTGGACTTCAAAAGCAAACCTAAATTGTAGCTTTCACTCCTAACTTCCCACTAGTAAAACCCCAGATCTGAACAACATAAAATTTTACATCCAAGTATGCTTAAACCATCCTGGTGTTATAGAGTTAGCACAACAGGATTCACTGTATTTCTGGGAAAGACTTCATAAGATTTGCTCACAGGGCACTAGGCTGAATTTCATCCCAGGCCTACCCAAAACCAGGAACGACAGGAGGGCTAAAGGACTCCGGTTCTTGAACAGACCTGCTAGTGTCTTCCTGTGGCTTAAGGAGGACAGGATCTGGGGATAAGATCTGAGTATGGCCACAAGCTGCCATCTGCATCATTGTGAAGCCAAGAGAGGGCTTCACCCAAGAGGGCTGCATGGCACAAAAAATTTGCAGGACCCACAGCAGCTCTTGAGTCAAATGAAACCTTCGCTGGGGACTGGGCTTACTGCCCTGCCTCCAGTAAGCTAAAGCCAGAGTACAGCACTGCACCTTAAGAGATTCATTGGTGAACTAAGCAGAATTTGATTTTTGTTGGATCTTATTGAGTTAAAGCAATCCCAAATGACCTGAAATTTTTCAAACCTTGTTTTTTCATCCTTAATTTTCAGACAGAAAATGAAATTAGAAAGATGGTATTTCAAGGGAAGTGAACCAGTAGTCAGAACATACTAAGAACGTTTTTCCTCCACTGCACTAGTAGAATTTGGCTCACTTCTGCTAATTGTTAAAAGTCAATTAGATATGCAAATATGCATACTCAAAATTTGCATTTGCATGGTGGCCATGCTTCTCTTCATAGCCATGGCAGTCGTGTATTCTAGTGATTAGTTAGACTTTGAGTTGGCTCATTGTGCACAAAATCTCAGACACTGACAGAAAAGCATGCATTTTTGTATACACAGACATGGGCAGGGGATTCTAAAAGTCTGTGTCTGTGTAACCTGCAAGTACCTATGTGTTTGACTAGCTGGTAAGGCTTTGTTTGTCTCTGCCATCTACATCCATGTTTACTTTACTTTGAAGCCTACAATTTGAATTGAAGGGATATTTAGGATTTTGTGAAGGCGTGGGGAAAGCATCACTGGTGCAATTGTGTATCTCATCTCCAGCATGCAAAATCTTCTATCTGCAATGGTAAACATAGTAGCCCACAGGCTGAGGCTACTGAGGTGTGTTTTGCAATTCACATTAATTATTTTGCAGCCTTTTCTTTAAGTATTTACTGTGAAGTCTAGAAACATTCGTATTTCTTATATCCAAAATGCCCACAGTTTGGTTACATTTCACTTCAGTCTAGAAATGCAGAGAGCTCATGTTTAGACTTTATCAAGAAAAGAGATAACAAATGTCAAACAAAGATAGTACCTGAAAGGAAATAAAACAAATAATTCAAAATACTTGTTTAAAAAGTTACAAAATATGACAGCATTAATGGCACTTAAAGCTATAAGCACTTAAAAGATTACCACCATCTTTTTCTCAACTTCTTTTCCTAAATTTCTGTTTTCTTTTTCCCTTTTTTTTTCTTATTTTCTGAGATTATGACTCAGCTTATGTCTAAATCCAAACCCAGCAAAAGGGGCAGAGAGCCCTGAGATTCTATAGTTGCCCTGGCCCTCATGTGAATAGCATATATGCTTTTATGTCTATTTGCAAAAATTCAGATTCAGCTACAGAGAACAGCAGTTTGCTGACATGCAAAGGTATAGCTTTCCTTCTGTCTTCATAGTCTTACAGCATTAAAATTGAAGGGGTTTTTTCAGTGGTAGAAAGTGTGAATGAAAAATTCTTGTAAAAAAAAAAAGAACCACTATTTTTTACACCTATCCAAATATCATTAATGTTTCTCTTCTTTTAAACAACATAGCACAAGATGGTGCACTTTCTTCATATGCACTTTCCTGCTGTGACATTACATTGAATATTTCCTACACAAGCAAAAAAAATCCATTTGTTTCCTTTCCTTTTTTATTTTTTGTCACTAGTTAAGAGAAATACCCACAGAGTTGGTTTTTGTTCATTTGCTGTTAATGAAAAGAGCAATCCGACCCTTTAATGTGTCTGTGTTGATTTTTCAAACCAGCACCCAGCTGGTGGCTGCTTCCATGGACATTCTTTTGGATTTTAGAAAGATAATGCATCTGTTTCAAAAATGGAAAAAAAAAAAAAAAAAAGAAATATCTAGAAGTCTAGCTTGGATCACGTGCCAAAACGTAAACTAAGCCTTACTGAAAGTTTCTAGTTCACTCCAATCATTTCTCCTCTTTTTAATCACCAGGGGAAGGCTTTATGGATGCATACTCCATTAGAAAGATACACTTTGTCATCCCTTTGAAAGGCTCTTCTTACATAGCTGCCCTTTCTCTAGTATTATACCATGGTAGGAGCACTCAGGTGATATCGCCATGGTTCAATCTCTTCATTTGTGTCTTACCCTGGTAATTTTATACAGGCTGAAATTTCCATGTGCATAGCTTTCTGTTGCCATTCTGCAGTGCTGTGTTCCTGATATGTTTTGGCAGAGCAAGCTTGAGTGTTTATGGCACAGTGAAATATTCTTCAATGCTATATAATTCAGACTGAACAAGGAGTCTGTATAAGGCACGTGTCTCAATATATATATGAATATAAAAACACTAACATTGTTAATTCAAGTCAAGCATCTTTTATGTTTAATTTCTGTCTTCAAGTAACACTTTATTTTCATGTTCCCTTTCTTTGGTTTCATTGGGGATCACTCCATTCTCCAGGTCTGAGTGCTGCTGGATGCAGTTGGTCAGGACTGCAGTGCTAGAAGAGTTCTCAGAATTACAGATCTTCTCCATCTCCTCTTCTTTTTTTTCTTCATCCAAGGAGTAGTTCCGGAAGTTTTCATAAATTTTACGCACATCCTCAGGGATGGTCTTTTTGAGGTCTTTGTTTTTCCTTTTGGTCATTTTAGCAGATGATCCAAACTTGTTAATAATGTTGTCCTCAGATGCACCCTGCCCGTGCTTATTGAGCTGATCTGAACCTTTAAGGCGCAGGTTGTTAGGCCTGTTGTTGATGCTTTCCTGAGATGAGGCTTTGAAGCGCCCTGTTTCCAAGGCAGTAAACACAGAGCGCTTCTCTGGAGAGAGCATGTCTAAGGAGTGGGCTCGCTGGTCCAGGCCCAGGCGCCTACGCTCCATGCTCCGGATGGTGGCTGCCCGCTGAAGTTTGTCATGGATCTCCACACTCAGCCGCCTCCGTGTCTCTCTGAACTCAGCCGTCATGTTTGCTTTCCACTCCGCTGCGTGGGCTTTTATTTCTCCAACCTTTACAACAACAAGAGACAGAAATCAATTAAAAAAAGAAAAATTAAAAAAAAAAAAAAAGCTAAACAGGGCTACAGTCTTTCCTATACAATGGTGCAAGCACTTTCTTCTCTGGCGTGAAATCAGAGGCCAGTCCAGCTCCACTGCATCCATCTGTACCCAAACTTCAGCAGCAAAGTGGTTATACTGGGCAAGCTGTAAACATACCAACTAGTGACTAGGTAATGGCTTATGCGGCATAAACTTATCTGCCTGTTCCACATTTTGCCACACATCTTATAACTGTGTTACGTGATGGGAGGTGTTTACTCTAATCCCTTCTCGGTTAGGAATAAAATTCCTGATTTATAATGTCAGTGGTAGATGGCCAGGATTGGGGAAAATTAATCACATATAGAGATACATCAAATGTGCTTCAGAACAGCACAACAACCAGTGTAGCGATACAGTAGTGTATATTCCCAAATTGCTAAGAACAAAGCACCTCCATGGCTGCTGTATTAAATAAACTCAGGTTCTGCACTCGGTGATCCCCGAAGAAGCCATCTTTGGTTCCTCAGTACAGATGACGAAGTATCCATTTAGCACTTTATTACTTATGGCAGGAAGCATCTCACACCCACGATGAGATATCTGATTCACACCTCTAGGTGACTGCTGATGATCAACATGACAGCCAAAATCTCTGCAAAGCCCCCTTTATCAGTGGGGATGCACAGAGGAGGCACTGGGCCTCAGATAGCAGAGATGCCTTCATAAATAAAAGCCAGCACTACCACTCTGCCAAACTTTGTCCATGCCTGCTCTTTGGCTAATCCTGCCAGGTGAGCTTTGCTAGTAATGCAGGAGGAGATTGTCTTAAAAACTGAAATTCTATTAATATCCTTCAAAACAGGCTTCAGCTCAGGAGTCATGCAATTGCCTTCTATTTTCCAACCTTGTTTGAGTGAAACATTAGTTATATTGTCTTTATATCATGGAAGGTATGCTCTGAGTTAATTTAATCATGTTCTCCCCAGTGCTGACTACTTGGTTTCTTCAATTGTGAATAATACAGTATTCAGTAAGGGGCCTGAATCTAAACCTTTATTCAGAACCATATTCCCTGGCATAGGGAAAAGTAGGAAAACTCAATATAAATCACTGTTCTGAAGACAGATTCTTGTTTCTTAATGAAGAGAGACAATTAATGTCTTCAAAACCCACGTGTCTCCAATTTTTAAGGGGAGAACACTGACATTTTTATCACAATTATGTAACTAGTTTCAGAGTGAAGGCTGGCCTTTCTTATTTGATAATTGCAATCCTACTGATGTGTTCTGTGGATTTGGCAGTACTGATAGAGGTGGAACAACCTAGGTTGCTTCTGTTTCATCTTTTCCTCCCTAAAGATCAGAGCAAACTGGATACCAAAGGCAGCCAGTGGAGTAAACCATGGGGAATAATGAGCACTGGACATGCAGAGAAGCATCCTTCTTTAGGACAGC